TCAATGGGCCTACTCTAGTGCAATTTACTATACTAAGCAACAGGATTTTGGTCATTGTATGAAAGCCATGGGAGCCACAGAACAGGAGGAGAATGTCAGATGTATTTAATTACAAAAAGTCCTGCCACCAGTGGCAAAGTCAAGCATATGCCCAGTTGTCTCGGACAATGGAAGTTGTAACCTGTCTACCCTTTAGGCTGTATAGAGGGCACCTCCTGAATAGCTGGTGTCCAGAAAGCATTACCCGACCTAGGCCATACAGCCTCTGAGGTGAGGCCCAGAATTCTGAAGAGAATTCTGAGAGCTGGAGTCCAAATAATGTGAATGACACATCCCGGCTGATCTCTTACAGCTATTGTTTCCTAGCTGTTTTATCTTGGTGTCCTTTCTGCCACTTCCATGACACCATTCTAAACCATACCTTTCACTCATTTTCTGAGCCAAGAATGGTGTATATTCAGGATGCTTGTTCCCACTTCAAACAGGCAACATTCTGAAATTTCCAACTAAGGCCCATATTTAAGTTTCTCTTTCATTTTAGAAAACACAGATAGTAACTATTTTCAGTGGTGATAGTAAGAAGTATGTGGAGAAGAAAGTAAGAAGAATGGCAAACACATATAGGAACACAATATTTTAGCAATTTCATTTGCCATTTTTTGTTTGTTCAGCCTCACCTATATTGATATATCATTTCTTAGATGTGTCTGAATCAAACAACTTTTATAGGTTACTTTACTGATAAAGTTGAGTAATGACAATTTGTTCAGCTTGGTTAGGTAATATAGGCTCAATTAGCATATGTGAGGAAATCTATGGAGTGATTTGCCCTCTGTTACTAAAAAGCTGTGAGTTATGTATCATCTGAACAATCTGACTTCAGTAAAAGGGTTAGACACAAATTATTTCTGAAGGGGGTTTCACAGTAGTATTCCTAAGAATTCGTGCTTGGAGGTATGCCCTGCTGAGGTCAACAGAATTTACATTTGACCTGACATGTACATGGCTGGGCTTATAATAGTATCTCTATCAAATTTTCTTGCATGGCTATGACATTCTTTGTTGTAGAAGCTCAAAGAAAAAAATGGATCTTCTACAATAAAAAAAGTTCTTTATGCAACTCCTCCACTGTAGATTGGAAAAGTTCAGCATTTTGAAAGGAGTTTTTGATGGTGAATGTTTTCTACAGGAAGTGCTCCTGAAGGGCATTCCAAAGCCCTTGAAATTCTAGCAGTTTTGATACTTCAAGCATTTCCTACAGCATGCACGCACGCATGCACGCACGCACGCGCGCACACACACACACACTGTATAACACCCCTATATTTTCCAACATAGCAAGGATGACAACTAACTTTCAAACTTTGGAGAGATGTGGGGTTGACCTTTGCATGCAAATAAGTGATCTTTAATTGTTTTATTTACTTGAGAATTATTGAATGCCTTTTTTTCCCCTTTAAAGACTGGGAATCAATTTTGTGATGTATTTTTGCTATTTTTTTGGAAGATTATCTCTGACCTCATGTCATGCACATTAGATCAAATCAGGTATAGAGACACTGGTGATGAGAGCTGTTGAAACCCTGTCCCCTTGCTCTTTCCATAAGCTACATAGCCTCAAAGCAAATGCAAAACTAGTGTGGTTCTGTTTAAGCTTGTCTGGCTTTTGAGGTTTTCACATTTCTGAGTGAAGATCACATCCAGGATGCTGACCTTCTACATGCAAAATTATGCAGTACCCTTCTTATAAAACCCTCTTGTTTCTGCTGTACATGAATAGGTGTGTGGGCTGTTAAACGATCCAGTCCTTTATTAATATGAGACATTGCTTCTGTGTCCACAATTTGAAACATAAGGAAATGATCCCACATTTTCCTTGCAATATTTACATCTGTGTTGTGACCATGGAAAAGGGTGCCAATCTTTAAGTAATAAAGGCCAGCTTGAATGTGACAACACCAGTATCAACAATAAAGATCTACAGGTTATCCTTTTGTGTTCACTAACATTCACAAAGAGACATGAGGCAAAAGTAGATCTCAAAACCTTAACCTTTTTTAAATCAGTTAATCACAGGTCACTCAAACACTGATCAATTGTCATGGATATTTTTCAACAAGTTATCTAAGTGTTTATTGCTTGACTAGAAGATATGCATGTTTCAATTGATTGCGTGTGCTCGAGTATTTTCCTTTTGGTCTAGAAAGTGTTAGATTGCTATCCCCTTAGGGAGTAACATGAATTTCAGGTATTTCCACCTCATGCAGCCCAGTGCACGGCACTCTAGGCTTCAGTATTTGGAAGAAAATTGCCGTCATATTTTTTATACTGTAATTGTATTGTTGTTGTTATGTGCCATCAAGCAGAATCTGTCTTATGACAACCCGAGTAGGGTTTGTTTCTGAGGTATGTGCGGCTTTCCAGGAGAGGTTTACCATTGTTACACCACCACACATGAGTTTCCATGGCCAAGTGGGGTTCTGAAGCCAGGGTATCTGAATCCTAGCCTGACATTCTATCTACAACACCACACTGGTCCTTTTTCATGTAGCATTTAGGTCAAATGTTCTTTTTGATATAGCAATTGGGGTACAGCAACACAACACATCTAGATTTAGAAGATTAAAAGAGGGACATTCCATATTTTTCCATGTATAAGATACCCCATGTATAACACCCCCTCACTTTTCTAACCCAAAATTAAGAAATCTAAGCGGGGCTTAGCAAGTGGAGGGCTAAAGCAAGGATCAAAGCGCTGCAGGATTGTTTTGATCCTGTTCTTGCTAAGCCCGCTTAGCAAGTGGAGGGCAAAAGCAGGGATCAAAGCACTTTGATCCCTGCCTTTCTCCTCCACTTTCTTGCGAAGAAAGTGGAAGGGGAAAGCAGGGATCAAAGCGCTTTGATTCCTTCCCCCTTACTTCCGTGTATAAGATGACCCTCAAATTTTAATATAAAGATTTTAGACAAAAGTATCATTTTATACACAGGAACATATGGTACATACTTTTTGCCAAACCTTCTGGTTTGAAAACATTTTTTGTTTGGACCGCTGCCTGCTGTCTGTAGCAGCTTACAGAATGCTATTTTGACGGGTCACACAGTATCAGAAGTGCACTCCTGTGCACTTCTAATGAGAGTGCCATCTGGGATTATTGTCCTGCCTACTGCTTTTGCTAGGTCGTCTAAAAGCTGTTTTATATTTTTTATTTATTTAAAATATTTATGTGCCGCTTTTCACCTATGTGAATCCAATGTGGATTGTGGATTCAGAAGTGTGAATCTGAAATGTGCAGGGCTTGAAAAATGCATTAGGCACTTGTCTGTGACGAGTGAAAAAACGCTGCTTGATGAGCCACAGCTCCCTCCCTCCCTCCCTGTCTGCCTCCTTCCCCTCTGCCCGTCCCTCTCTCTCAATGATCTTTTAGTCCTCCCCTCACCCCTCCGATTGCAAAACAGCCCTCTTCTCGTAAGAAGAGAGTTCAAGCGGCACATATGCAGGAGAATGTAGAGTAGTCCCATGCTGGAGAATATGGATATTCCCTGCTCCCAATTTCAACCCAACTAGGAAAAATCCTGGGGTGGGAGGGAACCGTGGCTCCTTAAGTGGCCAAGCGCTTTTGCTTTCAGTTTTATTTTTGCTGGAGACATTCAAAAGAAAGGCATTCAAAACACAAGCTTCATGACCCCGCAGGCAGGCAGGTAATAAGACAACTCAAGTCTTAGGGTATATTTATTTTGAGTTTGTACGCATTGTTATGTAGAAATAAAAGTGAACAAGTGCCTAGTTTGAATTTGTTAACATAAATTGGAAAGCTATTTTCTGGTCATGCTGACTGGTGAAATTTTTGACTGACTGGTGAGACATTCTAAAATTTTTCAAGCCCTGGAAATGTGGATTGTATTAATTGCTTCCTTTGTTTTGTCTCTGATATTTACTTTTTTTAAAATAAATGTTTTTGCCCCTCCTTATGCAAAAGATGAGTTTGCCCTGCCTTTTCTTATTCCCTGACTTTTCTATCCAGTGCTCTAACAAGAGTAGCTTCTGTAATAATGTGGTTGTATCTTTTGTATCTTTTGGTCCTAGTCTCTCCTTTCCTCTGCTTGAATAGGCTTTTTTAGTCCCTCAAGAGGGATTTGCTTCCCTCGTAGGTCTGGAAACCATATCCCAGGGAGCCCTGTGTGTTTCTTAATAACCTCCTAACAGAGATATGTGGATATTGTGCTATATTGCCTACTCTTTCTCTCTGTCATACTCTGCAGTATTCTTTATTTAAGAGTGTAATAAAAGGAATGAAGTATCTGTGTGGAGGGATTCCTGGAGTGCTTAAGTTGCAGATTGCATCGCATTGGCCCATGTAGGGGAGAGCAATGAGGTATCATATATCTATGACTAGGAGTGTGTGTGGTGTAATGTCACAGAAGTACGTCTATGTCTATGGGTGTAGATTGGCTTAGTCCAGGATTGACTTGGGGGAGATATTGCCTTGCCACTTTGCAGTTGGTGAGTGCCAGTAGTGTTGCCATGGATGCTGGAGGAGTGACTGTCAGAGTTGATGTGCACTCTATAGTTTGTACTGCAGTTGTTTTCTTCTTAATTTTGCTGCTTGGAAGTACATAGGACTGACTCACCAGTACAGTGAGTCTATGGAGTTGGGCTGATCGGTGTTTGTGAACAGCCACTTCTTTGATTTCTAGTTCTTTCATGTGTTTGTTATGAATATTTGTTTTTCTTGACATTATCAAATATTGTTTGTAACATATTCTGATTATTTGGAAAGAAATATCGTTCTTTTTGTTTCCAGGTGATCAACTGTTTATTTGCCAAATTCGGTGTTTTTTTGTGGGTGGGGACCACAATAAGAGTTAGGTTTTCTTCATTTTTGCTTCCATAAATGCCTACACTATTCTGCCACCACCACCCCCCCCCCCGCAATTCTGCAAGTGGTTTTCTGAATAACTTTTGCTTCTTCTGTGTAGGAGGCCTTCCATGTCATGCTTGAACTCTGTGAGGAATTTAAAGCCTTTTTGTACAGCAGATCTATAATTTAAGATTGAAGAAAAAGAAAATGGAGGATCTGTGTTCAGAATTGTGATGTGTTTCACTACTAGCCAAAAAGGTTATAAATTGCAGCTGTGACATAAAGAAATGGAAACAAAAGGCAGAGAATCTTAACATTCTTATTCAGGTATATATTGTCTGAGATCTCTTCGCTTCTATCATTGGGTTCACATTATATAAAACAGTCATCCATTTTTTCCATTTAAAATAGCTTCTGAAACATAAGGAGGACAAGATATTTAAAAATGAGAGTTAGTGTTTTCAGGGACTCTGATTTGAGCTTAGTAAGCTCCTGTGTAACAGCTGAAACCTTGTCATTTAAAGCTACAATCAGTTTGCTAAACCCAAAATGTTATCAACATTTCTGAGTTTTCAGTTAATTTGAACATCTTATATGATGGTCATTACATGATCATTTTTATTACAATCAATTATATAAACTGCATGAGCCATCTGGATTTGTTTTTATCTCTTTCTTTCATTATAGAAACACATAACTTGGCATGGTTTTTCTTGTTTATAAATGGCCTGTGTTATCCCAGTTTCTCACTAGGCTTGTAGTGAGTGTTTCGAACAGTGTTTAAGGAGGTCAGGATCCTCATACTAGAATTTATGATGAACCAGCTTTTACGGTACAAGATGACTCAGGTTTGGCCACCTTCATGTTCTGACTTGTCCATTTCAGGGTGGCAACAAAGTCAATTAGTTGTATGAGTAAGCTGTTAGCACCCTTTCCCCTGAACAAGCATTTCCTACCAAACAGGTAGTATTGTCTGCCTCTTGTCAGGCTATCTGCATGTAAGTGCTCATATTTATTCCAGCGCCTAGCCTGCATTACATGATACTATGCATCTTTGCCCTGCTCCGTTTTGTTTTTCCAAGTCCCCTGCCTTTGTATGGTGTTGATGATCTATGTTATCAAACGGCTATGTTCAGTTTTAAAAATAACGTTAAATCCTTTTCCCAGTGTACTGGGTTTAAATGATCCTTTGGTCAGCTTTATAAATAATAATCATCTAAATAATTTTAGAACTGCAGAGTAGGAAGGGCCCCTATGGATCACTGGGTCCAGCCGTTGTCAGGGAAGCACTGCGGGAATTGAACTCCCCATTTCTGGCTCTGATATCCAACAGTTCCTTTTACACATTCAAATATCAAACGGTCATGATTGTATAGAGAACACTTTTCTTCATTACTTAATTCTTTTCTGGCCTCAAAATAATGGCTTCAAACGCTGGACTTTATTATCCTTTGCTATCCAGTATTGATAATTGAGGCATATATAGAAAAGGGGTGAATAACTGCATGCCATTCCTGCTTATATGGTACTTGCCAGTGCCAGTGAATGTACTGTTGAATATTGACAAAATTGGCAAAAAAAATAAATAAAATAAATCAAAAACAGAACCCCGAACCTAGCAGTAGTTTGAATGTTCCTTATAACTGGCCCCAGAAAACAACCTGGCTGCGCTGTTTTCGACCACCTGAAGTTTCTGAACAATTTTCCTTGTTGACATAGCAACACACTCAAACTCTAGCTTCTCTTTTGATATACCACCTCTTCACTGAGCTAGCTGTTCTTTCTCTTAGATTGAAATACAGCACTATGTGGATCTCTCGTCTCTTTAATTCTTGTCATCAGTTCACTTTATTGATGAAATGCCAAACCATTTAATATCTCCAGTGTCACTAATAATTAATCTAATTATTTAGGCTCTTAAAGCATATTCAGTTGTACTGTGATCCAGAATAATCAAAATGCTGTTTGTATAGCACCACAGAGCATGTAAAGCACTCTTTGGGCAGTTTACAATTTAATTATGCAGGTTACACTTGCCTCCGCCAAGTGAGCTGGGTACACAATTCACCGACCTTGAAAAAATGGAAGGCTGAGTCCATCTCAAGCCAGCTATCTGAGCCTGTTGGGATTGAACTCAGATTGTGAGTGGAGTCTTAACTGCAGTACAGGTTATGGAAACAAGTTCAGCCCCATCCCACCCCCTTGTTGCTTTGCTCATAGGAGTAAGTAATGTGTGAAGAGGAGAAATGATCTGCTCATGTGTAGACTCTACATGTGAGGGAAAACTCCAATTTTTTTAGGTTATTGCTCATTCATAGAGCCTGTGAGTGAGCAGGATCCTTCAGATGTGCAAAGCAGTGGGGAGAGAGATTAGCCTTTTCCTTGCAACCATATTGATGAGTCCAGAACAGCTATGAGCAGATTTTAGTAGAACTCAGATTGTGTAGAAAGGGACGTGGTGGCACTGCGGGCTAAACCGCAGAAGCCTGTGCTGCAGGGTCAGAAGACCAGCAGTCGTAAGATCGAATCCACGCGACGGAGTGAGCTCCCGTCGCTTGTCCCAGCTCCCACCAACCTAGCGGTTTGAAAGGAAGCAAATGCAAGTAGATAAATAGGGAACACTTCGGTGGGAAGGTAACAGCGTTCCGTATCTAAGACACACTGGTCATGTGACCACGGAAGATTGTCTTCGGACAAACGCTGGCTCTACGGCTTGGAAACGGGGATGAGCACCGCCCCCTAGAGTCGAACACGACTGGACAAAAATTGTCAAGGGGAACCTTTAGCTTTACCTTTTACAGATTGTGTAAGGGGCTTCTTTGCTTTCTCCTGGGCCTCTCTTAGGGGATTAGTGCACCTTTGGAACAACATGATGTGTGTTGCCATGAGCTGCATCGAAGAAGGGAGAATGGAAATTGAAAGTGACCATGTGGTGACAGAAGAGCCTTTCCTCTGAAGCCTTTGAGTCCAATTTTTTCTTATAGTTGGACTGTCCCTGTCTGTGCCAAATGAAATAATTCTCAGTCTTTTAGATGAAATCTGACCTGTTCTAAAATTATGAACAGTCTTGTTTCTCTCTTTTCCAGGCTATGTTTTGAATATGCAAGATAATGCAGACCTCAGTTTTTATGGAACAAAAATGTGTAAGTACATAACTGACCTCTTTCTACATATGAGTATATAGGTATGGAAAAAAAAACTGAAATGTCTCTCTTTCAGATAAAATAGATATTTGCTGAATTGTCTCGCTTCTTATCATCACTTGTAGATCTAGGCTTCCTAATGTGTTTTTTAATACATTGATGGAAATGGTAGAATTTAGAATCCAAGGCTACTACTTATCACAGTGGTCATATTTGGCCAAGGATAGACACTTGCAAGCCTCACATTTCTCCTGAGTAGATTTGTGCTAATCTGCACTAGCCTCTCTCTCTCAACTGGCTTCACTAAATGCTTAAGCCCAGCTTCCGTGGTTCAGTCTCCTGGGCTGAGACAGTTTGTACAAAGGAATTCCCTTGCTTTTGTGTTCTTTATCCCACCCATTCACATGCAATTGATGATCACAAATAGCTGATGATCAGTTATTCAGCTAGGTCAGCTGACAGCATCATGTGAGACTGTAATATGTAAAGTAACGTGAGTACACGAGTTGAATACTTGTATTTCAGACTGATGGATTTCAGTAGCGCAGCCGTTTTGACAAGTGTGTTTTATAGCTTGTATTTCTGTTGCCTTAATGCTAGTCTGTGGATTACTCTATTAAACATTCTAGAATCTTGAGTATTTGTTTTGTTATTGCTTGGTATTTGTTTTGTTATTGTTTAGTTGTGCCCGACTCTTTGTGACCCCATGGACCACAGCACGCCAGGCCCTCCTGGCTTCCACTGCCTCCCGGAGTTGGGTCAAATTCATGTTGGTAGCTTCGATGACACTGTCCAATAATCTCATCCTCTGTCGTCCCCTTCCCTTCTTGCCTTCACATCAGGGTCTTTTCCAGGGAGTCTTCTCTTCTCATGAGATGGCCAAAGTATTGGAGGCTCAGCTTCAGGATCTGTCCTTCCAGCGAGCACTCAGGGTTCATTTCCTTTAGAATGGATAGGTTTGTTCTCCTTGCAGTCCAGGGGACTCTCAAGAGCCTCCTCCAGCACCACAATTCAAAAGCATCATTTCTTCAGCTTTCTTTATGGTCCAGCTTTCACTTCCATACATCACTACAGGAAAAACCATAGCTTTGACTATGCGTACTTTTGCTGGCAAGGTGATGTGTCTGCTTTTTAAGATGCTGTCTAGGTTTGTCATCACTTTCCTCCCAAGAAGCAAGTGTCTTTTAATTTCACCATCTGCAGTGATCATGGAGCCCAAAAAAGTAAAACCTGTTACTGCCTCCATATCTTCCCCTTCTATTTGCCAGGAGGTGATGGGACCAGTGGCCATGATCTTAGTTTTTTTGATGTTGAGCTTCATACCATTTGAATATTTGTTAGTTCAACCAAAATGCCACTACGATAGTGTCAGTTTGAACATTTTGTGGTTTTAAATGTTACCATCAGAAGACATGCTGAAGATGGCCTCTAAATTAATAATACAAGGAACCTAAAAGAGCAATTTCCAGAGGTGAAGAAAATGTACAGTAACCTCTTCGTCCTAAACATTTTTATTTAGAAGGGACCCCAGAGGCTCATGGACTTTCTTTCATAGGAGTTTGTTGAACAATTAGATATCCACTTGTCAACGATGCTTTAGCTACGGATGTCCTTCTTTGGCAAGAGATTGGACTTGATTACTCTTAGGGTTCTTTTTAGTTCTGCTGTTCTTTGTATTTAAAGACAGGAATCTAACTTGTAAGACTTTCCTTGTTTTAGCGTGGGAGAAGGCTAATAGATAAAATAGAGGGCATCCACAAATGTAATTATGAATAATATATAGTCATTTTCTGTATGACTTTTATCAGTCTCCCACATTGTTGATATAATGCATAGCACCACATTGTTGTGGAAGAATTTAGACCCACTCTTCTTTATAACGTTGCTTTAGTTCAATGAGGTTTGTGGGCATTTGTTTATGCACTGCTCTCATAAGGTCCTGGCACGGCATTTCAATCAGGTTGAAATCTGGACTTTGACTGGGCCACTGCAACACTTTGATTCTTTTCTTTTTCAGCCATTCTGTGTTAGATTTGCTGGTGTACTTGGGATCTTTGTCCTGTTTCATGACCCAATTTCAGCCAAGTTTTAACTTGTGGACAGATGGCCTCCCATTTGATTCTAGTATTCTTTGGTATACAGAGAAGTTCATGGTTGACTCAGTGACTTCAAGGTGCCCAGGTCCTGTGGCTGCAAACGAAGCCCAAATCATCACCCCTCCACCACTATGCTTGGGAGTTGGTATGAGGTATTTGTGCTGATACGCTGTGTTTGGTTTTGTGCCAAATATGGTGATGTGCATTATATCCAAACATAACCCCTTTTCGTCTCATTTGTCCAAAGAACATTGATCCAGAAATCTTGTGGTTTGTCCTGATGCATCTTTGCAAACTGAAGCCATGCTGCCATGTTGTTTTTAAAGAGAAGAGGCTTTCTCTTGGCAACCCTTCCAAACAAACCATGCTTGTTCAGTCTTTTTCTAATGGTATTGTCATGAATTTGACATTTAACATGCTAACTGAGGCCTGTAGAGTCTAAGATGTAACTTGGTTTGTGTGTGTGTGGTTTTTTTTGTGTGCTTTTTTTGGCAATTTCTCTGAGCATTGCACATTTGACCTTTTGGTGAATTTGTTTGTATGTCCACTCCTGGGAAGACTGGCAACTATCTTGAATGTTTTCCACCAGTGCATTAGCTTCCTCATTATAGAATAATGGACTTAAAATTTTTTGGAAATAGACTTCTAACACTTCCCAGATTGATAGGCAGCAACAGTTGCTTCTCTATGATCATTACGGATGTGTTTCCTCCTTGGTATTGTGTTAACACACACTTGAATGCTCCAGACCAGGAAACTGCTAAAACTTCAACTTTTATAGAGTTGGTCACATTTGCTGATGATCAGCTACTCAAGGGCATTTGGTTAGCAACATCTGATTTCTACTTAGCCTCTTAATTCATATGGAAGCAGTAAGAGTCTACTTAGTTTTTCACACATGGCTTCTCCATCTTGACCTTATTTTTATTAATTAAATCATGACATAGTGTAGTATGCCATGTATTGTTCATCTGAGATTGTATTTACCTAATTTTCAGGCTTGCTAAGGATCAGATGATTTTTATTATGAGCTGTTATGTAAAATTATAGAATTCAAGGAGGGTGTACTTTCTTTTTCACATGAGTATACACAGGACATAAGGGGGGGGGTTAGTAGATGGCATTCATAATGGCAGTGGAATATCCACAGTGGTGTTCTCTTTTTAAAGACAAAAGTAAAAAAAATAAAATGTAAAAGAACAAATAAAAAGGACTAAAACTCGACTAGAGCCTTGTGGCGCAGTGGTTAAACTGCTGTACTGCAGCCAAACCTGTGCTCACGACCTGGGGTTCAATCCCAGGTAGCCGGCTCAAGGTTGACTCAGCCTATCCTTCTGAGGTCAGTAAAATGAGTACCCAGCTCGCTGGGGGGGGGCAATGTGTAGCTTGCATAATTAACTTGTGAACCGCCCAGAGAGTGCTTGAAGCACTATGGGATGGTATATAAGCAGGCACGCTTTTTAAAACTTTGTAGCACCTTAAAGACAGTTATATTTTAGTGTGAGCTTTCATGGCTAAAATCCACTTCCTCAGAGAGAGAGATAGCATGGCAGATTTTTAAACATGTATACATGGCATCAAAATAGAGAGACTATGGTTGGTTGGTTAGACACTTACAAAATGTTTGAGTCAATGTGGTTTTACCAGTGGGGTGATAGCCTCTTTTTGATATTTGCCTCTATTCTGTTGAAGTTTGTTCTATAAAAGGGTGTAAGAATCCTGGGCAAAGAATAGCAGACAAACTTGTTTTACAAACCAGTGTTTAATTGTACACTCTTGTGTTTTGTTTCCTTTTGTTGTGCCCTCAGTCAGAGTTTTTCCATTATCAGTGTAAAATCTCATTGCAGGAGAGGGATGCTTTTGAAGAATGTGATCATATCTTAAGCATTCTACAAAGCTGGGTAAAAATATTGGTAGTATGCCTCTTCTCCTTTAGAAAGCAGTCTGGTGCATGTAGTGTATGTGAGAGAGAGGGAAGTGGGGAGATTGATATTAGAAGTGTAATTAGTTTTGCAAATGATGTAGTGATGCTCAGATGTTCCCTGATCAGTAACAATATGCAGAAAGATCTAGCTTTTTCGTCAGCAGTCAGAGCTGTGAATCTGCTCAGGAATGCCTTACATCTTTAGCTGCCAGGGACCAGACAGGACCAACAGTCCCTTACTTTGTACCATCATTTTCCTTTGTAGCTGATCTCCTATACCAGCGATGGCGAACCTATGGGACGCATGCCACAGCTGGCATGCAGAACCCTTTCTGCTGGCATGCGAGCTATAAGTTGTCCGGATCACTACTCCCCCACCCCCTGCAGGTGGCTGCAACCGTGCTGCTGGTGCCTGGATAGGCGGCAGGTCAGGATCTGGAGTAGCTGGTGGGGTCTCGATGCACCTCCATGCCCGGGATCTCCCTTTCCGCCACCATTTCTGGTTCCATCACTGCCGCCGTGGCACACCACCCCCTGTCCCCCGCTCCCCAGTTTGGGCACGCGAGCCCAAAAAGGTTCATCACCCCTATCCTATACCCACTGTTCTATATAGACTGATTTTTTTTCCTGTAGCTTTATCTCTCTGGAGAGTTACTAGCACATTGAAGATTACTAAGGTTTCATTTGTTTCCTATCTTGCTTCTTACCGAATCTTGATCTTGCCAAGCTGCCGTGTGCCTAACAGTTGCAGAAACTGATGCCTTTTTTAAACCATGAGTATCCTTGGTTGCATTTGATGGCACACACTGCAGAGGTGTTAGTGCTAACTGGTGTAAGATTTGTAGGGTTACTATATCCCATTCTCCAAATAAGGGCATGCTAATGTGCCTATTTGTAGATTCCCATTGTGGTGTAGTGGATAGAGTAACAGACTAGGACTCCGTAGAACAGGGTTTGAATCCCCAGTCAGCCATGGAAAC